CCTGGCCCGGCCCCCCGAGTTGCCGGACTTGTTTCCACTTTTTTCCGGTTGGCCCCTGATCTACCCCAAGCCGAGCGCGGTGAGGGTAGCGTGGCGCGGCGCGGCTGGGCTCGGCTCGGAGAGAGAGGAACGGTGCGGAGCGGAGTGGAGAGAGAGGCGGCCCGACCCCCTCTCCCCGGCCCATGAGCGGCCAGACGGGGGCGGGAGGGTTGCGGGCCCGGGCCCCCCGCGGGGCCTTCAAACCTCAGAAACAAACCCCCGGCCTCAGCCCTCCGGGACCCACCCCTCCCCGTCCTATACCCCTGCGGTGGGGGCCCCACGCGCCGCAAACTGGAAATAAAACACTTACTTCGTGACACAGTGTCGCCGTACGGTCCCGGTCCGGATGGCCCGGACGGGAGGAGGCCCCCGGATTTGCTCTCCCTTCCACCCCCTCTCAGAGCTGCTCTCTTCACACACCCCTTTTATCCCGTGCCTGGCCGTGGTGACACCGGGAAGAGGGAAAGAAACACGTCAAGGAAGACGCGGAAACAATGCAACTCGTGCGTGGGGAAAATACGGCATGACGTTGTTGCCGCTGCTCGCTGCCGCGCTGCCGCCGGGGAGTGCGGTGACCCCGCGCCGTCATGTCACTTTCACCGCGACGCGTCACTGGGTCACTGGGGGGGGGCGGCGGGCGCGCCCGGGCCAGGCGGGTCCCTCGCCGTGACTCACGCGTGGTCGCCGCGCCGACACAATGCGAGATATCCGGTCCGGCCCGCGCTCTGCACCTCATCTCTCTCGCGGCGCTCCCCCCCCCCCCACACACACACATACATCACACCCCATTCCTTTAAGTTCAAGTTCAACTAGGGCAGTTACGACGGCTTGTTCCACCTCTGAACTGGAGGTGAATCTGTTGCAAAATACTTGGATGATGAAACGCCTGCTCTAATTCAAAGCAAATGGAAGGCCTAATAATGAAACGTAGGGGCCTGCTGTAACGCACCGAGTATGCGGGTTTGCATACCCAAGGGGCTATGGCGCCTTATACGGGGGCAACGGGTAGGCAAACCCGCAACACAGTGTTGTGTTGCCTTTACGGACGGTAATGTGGGTGCTGAGTCCGCCCGCGCAACGACGGCCCTCTCCCAGCGCGACGTGGAGCTGCTGCTGCTGAAGGAGGAGAGGAAATCGGCCCCAATCAACTCTGCCCGGTGGCGCGGCGGCAGCGGCATTCCGCTAGACTCCGCCGGGCCTCGCCAGGCCTGCCAGGCCTCGCCACGGCCAGCGCGGGAGTCGAGTCGAGCGGGTTGCCTATGCCCGACAGGACAGGCGCTCCGCCTCCGCCGCCGCAGCAGGCTCTCCAGGCACAAGCATGCGGAGAAGGCCAAACCAATATGAGACTGGGATGGGATGCCGGGGATTCCTTTCGCACGCGTAACGCCCGGCGCGTTTGCAGGCCCGCGGCCCCCCTCCTCCTCCTCCATACGGCTCCTTGTCTTATGCCCTTCGCGCGGCAAAGAAAGAAATTCAATTGCCTCGGGTGGCGCTGCGCTGCGCTGGTGGCGCGGGGGGCGCAGCTGCTGCTCTCGCCCCGTGTTCACACTCATCGCAACGCGTCCGAGAGGCGTCCGCGGCCGCGTCCAGGAGGTGAGACGAGGAAGGGCGTCACTTCGGAATGCCACCATCACCGTGGCCACCACCTTCAGCGGGGACCAACTCCAGCCGCCCCGCCGGGCCCTTCGTGAGTTCTGCCTCTAGCTCCACCCCAGGATGGCTCCGGACCTCGGTGAGAGGCTTGCTCGCAGGCTCCCCCGAGGCAGCCGTCGGCCCGCACGCCGGCCCTGCGCATGCGCGTAAGCACTGCCGGGGCCATTAGCATTCGCCCAAATTAACCAAACATGCTCGACCTTATAATTTCGCGCAAATTGCCGGGACAGTCAGTCGGTGTGATGGTTTGGCCGTCCGCGGGGAAGAGGGCGGCGTTGCCAAATCTGCCTCTCCTCGCGTCCTCCTCCAGCCCGGCTGGCCCGGGCGGCCCCGGCTCGGCTCGCCTTCCAGCCGGGCCCCCACGGCGGCGTGGCCCGGCTGAACTCGGCTCGGACACGCTCTCCGCACGAAAAGAAACAGGCGAATTTCGGGATGGAAGAGAGAGAAGAGAGGAGGTGGTAGAGAGGAGGGGGGGGGGGTGCAGGAATGTGACGTGTTCTCCGGCGCTGCCTCCTCCACTACGCCCGCCTCGCCCGCCCCGCAGCCCGCCCTGGAGCCTGATCATCACCACCCTGGCCTGCATGTCGAGCTGCGGGGCGTGGTCCGGCCCCCACCCCCTGTCCCCTACGCCCCTTACAGTAGTGCCCCTCCCCAGCCTCTCCAGCACGCCCCGGCCGCGCCAATTGGATGACCCGCATTCTATTTCCGGCTGTCGTCGGCCAAAATTATGCCTGATTGGTTCCGTCTGGAGAAGACCGCGCGACGCGCGACCGGAAGTAGGGGCGCGCCGCCAGTGGCGTCCTGCCGAGCGTCCTGCAGGACGGCGTCGCCTGCTACACATAGTTCTAGTTCTACGCGGTGAGGCGGTGTGCCGCGCTACGCCCCGATGCTGCTATGGGAGCACGGCCGCCTGCGGCTCGCCTGGGCCAGGGTTGGAAAATCAGGCTGGGACACTGCCAAACTGAGAGCAGACCGCAGGGGCTGGCGGGGGTGGCGGGCGAGGCGGAGGGCTGCTTGCATTGAGGGTGGGGCCCGGGGCTCCCGCCGGGGCTCCCGCCGGGCCGAGACGTGACCGCCGAACCGTATGCGGCTCATGGCGGTACCGCCCCAGCCTGCCCCGGCGGCCGCGCGCTATTTCCGGGAACACACCAGCTGGATGCTACTCGTTCCGAAACGTACCCGGCGCCGCGCCGCGGCACGTCGCAGCGCTGGGTCTCATATCGGCCGCTGCGGCACCGCCAGGCGCCGCGAGGGCACCGCACGGGGCGGTCACGAGCAGGAGAGTCGTCCCGCACCCGCCGCGCCTCGAGCACCCCGACCAGGGCGGACTGGTGCCCCGCAGCCTGCAGCACGCGGCCGCGAGTCACGGGCACCTGCCGCCACTGCAGCTGGGACATGCTCCTGGCGGGGTGTGCGCCTGGAGGGTCGGCACCCAGCGCAAGGGTTCGACCGGCGGGTTTGCCTACCCACCTCATGAGTGAGCGAGGCAAAAGCGTTGTCGTGTGGTACACGTCAGACCGGTGTAAAATTGGGAGGGGTCGCCGTCAATCAGCGAATTGGGGCATTACACTGGAGTTCGGGCTCTGCCGCGCCGAGGAGCTGCGATGGTGGCGGTGGTGGTTGCGCGCAGCAGAGCGACAATCGCCCTCTAGGAGAGGGTAGAACTTGCGTCACGTAAAGGGGTGGGGGTTGAAATTGGGGTGGAGGTGGTGGGGGTGGACCAGGGGTGGACCGGCCCGGTGAGCAGCGCCGCGCCTCCACGCGCTCCGCACCTCCTCCTCCTCCTCCGCCTCGCTGGCCAGCCCGCCCGGTGGTGGCGCTAGCCGCGCTATCCGCTCTAGCCGCGCTAGCCGCGCTAGCCGCGCTAGCCGCGCTAGCCAAAACTGGCCAAAGCTGGCCAAAGCGAGCCGCGCCCGCGCTAGCCACGCTAGCCAAGCAGCCCATCCCACGGTATGCGCAGTGGGTGGAAGGGCGCGGCGGGTGGGGTGGGGGTGTAAAGCCGGCAAAATCAACCTTGCTTGTAGAGCGCCGCACGCGGGCGGGGAGGCGAGCTCTGGTACATGGTTCATTCCCTACATCGCACTGCATACAAACTGTACTGTGTGACTCACGCCACGCATTTCCGTAGTTATGCTGTACTGCATGCAAGCGGGCAAGTGGGTTGCCTACTCGGAGAGAGCTGTAAGTAGCCGTGGGCAGTGAGAATAGGCAAGGCGGCTCGCACCCGTGCATACGGTAATCGACGCTGTGCCGGACAAGTCCGTGGATACCTTATTTGGCTGTAGGGGCAGGGGCCCGGGAAAGAGGGAGTAGGCCGAGGGGTGGATAACTCCCCTGCCAAGTGTACACCCCTAATTCTGCCCAATTCAAACTAATTCAGACCAATTCAATTTGATTCAAACAAATTCAAAACTAATTCAACTCATTCAGTCCAATTCAAGACAATGTTCCCGGGTGGAAGGATCTTCACTTAGACTATAGTTTAAACTGTAGTGTTGAATCTGAAGACATCAAACTCCATTTAAACTGTAGAAAAAAGTCGGTAATTTCTGTAGTTTATTCACGACTGCAGTATTGGGCTTTTGTAAACAGTTAGTCTGCAGTCAGACTGCACTTTTTATGTTGTTACATACTAAAGTTCCAATTTGCACTTGCGAGTTTAGTTAAAATACATTATACAAACAAGTATCCATCCGTTGTTTGACTACTGAGTAAAAGTGTATTCTAAATTACACAGTTAATACGCTGGAATAACATTCTAAACAGATATATCGGGACGAGTAATTCTGCGCTGTCAGTGTGTTACTATTTTTACAGTATAGCTATACTTTCCACTGCTAAGTGTACTTATGTTAAGACCTCTGTTACTATTTTTACAGTATAGCTATACTTTCCACTGCTAAGTGTACTTATGTTAAGACCTAAGGTACTACTCACAGTTGAAATTGTTGATTACATTAACATATATGAACACGAGAAGTATAGGTGAGAACTTTATAATGCTAGACTAAAATTTGGTGCATTTACTTGTTATTTTCACATTAGATTACTTTAGCGTTGTGTGGGTTCCGTTATACGTTTGGGATTTGAAAAATCTACTGTTAAGGATCCAGGTTCTTTCTGAAAACAAAAGTGTGCAACTGGCATACTTGGTAGTGTCTCGGGTAGTGTTCAACATGGTGCAAGGTATTAGGTGTTTGACTGGGAATTTG